ACTTTTCCTCAGTTCAGTAGGTGAATCAGGGAATTCAAAGGGAAGCATTGGGATGCAAATGCAGCCAGGTCACAGGTGTATCCTAGGCAGAATAAAGGCACACAGCAGAAGCTAGTGAGAAGAGATACAGTTTCTTCTCCCCAGATCCAGGGACAAGGCTTTTGTAAATTCTTTTTTTTTCTTTTTGGGTCACACCCAGCAATGCTCAGGGGTTACTCCTGACTCTGCACTCAGGAATCACTCCTGGCGGTGCTGTGGGGGGTGGAGGGGGAGGCAAGGGGTGCTGGGAATTAAACCTGGGCAAGGCAAATGCCATACCTGCTGTGCTGCTATCGCTCCAGCCCCACTAAATTTTTGGCTCTAGAATTAGGTTAGACATGCAGAGTGATCATGCTGGGAGGAACTCATGTGGTAATGCCAAGGATGCCTGGGGTGAAGTGCAAAAGTCAGTGATGGAGATGTCCAGTCCAAATGACTCATGCAAGTTTTGGGATAGAGATCCCCACCAGGAAGGAATGCATTTGAGGTACTTGACTTGGCATGCTACTGTTGTTATGCTGGAGGCCATATTGCTCCTCCAAGGATGCCTGGGGTCAAGGGCAGAGGTCACTGATGAAAGCATCCGTTTCAAAAATCCCAACAGCAAAAGATAGCTTCAGTTTGAAGATACTATAGATAATAATACTATCAATGTCCTAGTTTGGGGCCACATCTGGTGGAGCTCAGCAGTTACTCCTGGCTCTGTGCTCAGGAATCATTCCTGGCTGGACTCGGGACCATATGTGATGCTATGATTGAGCACAGGTCAGCCACATGCAAGGCAAGCACTTTGCCCACTTTGCCTATCTCTCAGGCCCCTCAATGTCCTAATTTTAATATATATCTTCTAGTGAGCATATCTATATGTTTTCGGTGGTTTTAGGAATGTGTACTTTGCTTTTCTTCCCATTCTGAGGAAGCCCGTATTCTCTCTGAGGACATATTTAACTACCTCTCTCTTCCTTTCTTTCCTTATTTCCCTCTGGGAGTAGAATTACTAAGTAACACAGAATTCCTCTAAATCTTTTTTAGAAATTATTTTGGGAGGAGAGGTTTAGGGCCACACTTGTGTGTTCAGGGACTACTCCTGTGTTCAGGGTTTGTTCCTGGTGGTGCTCATGGGAACATGCAAGTGTTGAGCATTGAATTCAATTCCACATGTAGGGATCAGGACTTATTCTTAGCCTTGTGCTCAGAGATCATTCCTAGTTTTACTTAGGAGACCAAATGTAATGCTGGGGAATAGTACCGTGGCTTGTTACATGCAAGCAAAGCAGTCACCTAGCCTCTATGCTATCTCTGCAGCCCCAGGTTACATTTGTCTACGTTTATCTTTTCCCTTTCCCACTCCAGAAACTGCCTTGTGGACTGGAGTGATAGTACAGTGGGTAGGGTGTTTGTCTTGTACTCAGCTGACCCGGTTCGATTACTGGCATCCCATATGGTTTCCTGAGCCTTTGAGCACAGAACCAGGATTAAGTATACGGCTCCCTGAGTATAACCCAAAAACTAAACCCCAAACCAACCAAACAAAAGAATTTCGGTAAAATGTTGAAATATCAGGATGGAGTGATAGCATAGTGGGTAGGGTGTGTATGCCTTGCACAAGGCCGACCCAGGTTCGATTCCCAGCATCCCATATGATCCCCTGAGCACCACCACAAGTAATTCCTGAGTGCATAAGCCAGGAGTAAGCCCTGTACATCGCCAGGTGTGACCCAAAAAGCAAAAAAAAAAGTTGAAATATAATAATGTATATGCAATATCAGCATGATTTGGGTTTGTTTTTTAAAAATTTTTATTAGTGAGACACCATGAGGTACAGTTGTAGACTTACAAATTTTTGTGCTTGGGTTTCAATTATACAATGATCAAATACCCATCCCTCCACCAGTGCCCATTTCCCACCACCACGGATTCCAGTATCCCTCCCACCCCCCATCCCCCCATCCCACCCTACCTCTGTGGCAGGGCATTCCCTTTTGTTCTCTGTCTCCTTTTGGGTGTTGTGGTTTGCAAAAGAGGCATTGAGTGGCAGTCATGTTTGGTCTGTAGTCTACTTTCAGCATGCTTCTCCCATCCTGGGAGGATCCTCCCAACACCCTTTATTTGGTGCTCCCTTCTCTATCTGAGCTCCCTTTTCCCCTAGCATGTGTGGCTGGCCTCTAAGCCATGGAGCAAAATTCCTGGTACTAATCTCGGCCATTCTGGGTGTTAGTCTCCTATTTTGTTACTTTATGTTCTTGGGGGGTGTTTTTTTTTTGCCACACTTTGCTATGCTCAGAGGTTGGGAGGGCTTTGCAGGGCTTGGGAAAACATATTGGTGGGATTCAAACCCAGCTTGGCTAGGGCTGGAACAATAGCATAGCAGTAGGGCGTTTGTCTTGCACGCAGTCAACCTGGGTTCAATTCCCAGCATCCCATATGGTCCCCCAAGCACCACCAGGAATAATTTCTGAGTGCATGAGCCAGGAGTAATCTCTGTGCATCACCGGGTGTGACCTCCCCCCCACATACACACACAAAAAAATCAAAGTCAGCTTGGCTATATACAAGGCAAGTGCCTTACCAAGAATACTATCTCTCTGCCTCACCCCCAGCATGGTTTCTAATGTGTCTTTTGCTTATGAGTAGAAGCTGAACTTCTTCTTTAGTGGTGCCAAGGTCTGAACCAAGGGTCTCACACGTGTGAGACTTGTGCTCTATCTCTGAGTCACAGTCCAGCCAGTTTGGGTTCCATTTCCCAGCTTTCTTTTCTCTTTTCTTCCCCGCCCCCACCCCCCCGCCACTTTTAAGAATCAGTTGTTTTTCTCCCTTGGAGGCTATGTTCATAAATTTTTTTACCATTTTTCTATTTAGATTTTGCTCTTATTTAAGTTGTGAGAGCTCAATATTCTACTAGGAAGAAATCAGCACAAAGGGTTGAAAGATTTTTTTTTTTTCAGAAGTACTTGGCAAGTTACCCACCAGTGGTGTGACTATTAGAACCCTTTCCAAGTTGGAACATTCAGTTCCTTTACAAGTGTGGACACTGATGGTGAGGTCCTGACTTACTAACAATCCTGTCATTTTGCATAACCTCAATTTTCTTAAAGTTCTTTCTTCCAGGGTGTAAATACTGCAATTTTCTCACACACGCACGTGCGCACGCACACACACACAAAGCCTGGGGTGGGAGAGAAAGTGATTTAGGAAATCTACTAATACTAAAAGATGAGTGTGTTTGGGGAAAAGAGTACTTGGGGGTCTAAAGCACTATCACCAAAATAGAGATGTGGGAAATGTAGAATTTACCTGCAACAAAACTGGCTCCATGATTTGGAGGTGAATCTTCAGGAGTCTTAGGCAATGCTAGAAGAGATTTAATTTGCAAGTGAACTGTCTGTGCTCTTTAAACATATTTTTGACTACTGGATTGTCAGAGGATTGTGTAAATAACTGCTTCATCACTGGGTTATTCACGTGGACCATTCACTTCTTAAAATATCAGACAGCACCAGGGGAAGCGCTGGGAAAGGCTATCGATTACACTGTGGGACTGAATGCAGATTGCAGAAGGTTTCCCTTTCCCAGACAAACATCTTTTATGCAGTAGCAGCATCTGCATGCAGAACGCATCTCCAAATGGTGCCTTAGAAAACAAGGAACGTCGAACAGTGCAGGTGTGGGCTCCAGTTGCGGACCTGCTGCCAGTACTTGTGTGACCACAGGCCACCCGGTGACCGTCACTGATCTTCACTGCGTCACCAACAGCTGCATGATCTTTGAGGACTCTGGGCACTGATCTGCGGCCGCTAAAGTCCAGAGAAATCCTATAAGCCCGGAAATAAGGAGGGGGCGGTGGTTGCGCCTGAGAAGAAATGGGAGGGCTCCTACATAGACTTCACAAACTTTTTGCGGTGTTTTGGGCACATTTGTAGTGGAATTTTAAAAACCGTGTTCTTGAGCTCAACTGTCCATAATTTAAGGCTTACTTCCCTCTGGTCCTCATTTCTACACTAGGAAGGGGCCAGGCAAGCGAAGCCCTGTGCCTTGGCTCACTTCTCCTGAAAATCCTGAGGGAACTCGCTTGGGGCAGCCCTCGTCCGGCTCCCGCCAGCGCACACCTGCACTGGGCACTGCCCGCCGGAGTCCCGGGTCCCGGAGTCCCGGGTCCCTCCCTGCGAGCACCTGTCGTGGCAGCCAGCCAGACCGCCCGTCTGACCCCGAGCCCACCACCTTGCCGCGCACACCTGCCCAAACTCCGGCCGCAGTTAGCCTGGGGCCGGCTCCGCCTCCCGGCGCACACCTGCCCAAGCTCCGGCCGCAGTTAGCCTGGGACCGGCTCCGCCTGCCGGCGCACACCTGCCCAAGCTCCGGCCGCAGTTAGCCTGGGACCGGCTCCGCCTGCCGGCGCACACCTGCCCAAGCTCCGGCCGCAGTTAGCCTGGGACCGGCTCCGCCTGCCGGCGCACACCTGCCCAAGCTCCGGCCGCAGTTAGCCTGGGACCGGCTCCGCCTGCCGGCGCACACCTGCCCAAGCTCCGGCCGCAGTTAGCCTGGGACCGGCTCCGCCTGCCGGCGCACACCTGCCCAAGCTCCGGCCGCAGTTAGCCTGGGACCGGCTCCGCCTGCCGGCGCACACCTGCCCAAGCTCCGGCCGCAGTTAGCCTGGGACCGGCTCCGCCTGCCGGCGCACACCTGCCCAAGCTCCGGCCGCAGTTAGCCTGGGACCGGCTCCGCCTCCCGGCGCACACCTGCCCCGGCACAGACCCGCTCTAACACTGGGGGTTCCGGAGATGCTGATACGTGCGGGACTACTTTTCGCGGACCCTCCGGCGGCGGGCGGAAGGATCCCGTGCACGGTCCGCGCGGAGGGCCGCGCGTGCGAGGCGAGGGAATATAGTGCGCCTGCGCGCCCGCCGCCGCCGCAGCCCACCAGCCGATCTGTCCGTCTGGCCGGTCGAGGGGAGTCTCCGCTGCCGCCTCCTCGGACCCTCTCCCGCCATGGCGCAAATACTCCCCATCCGTTTACATGAGCACTTCCAGGTGAGGCCCAGATTTCGGTGCCAAAGCCAGGAGGGCTCGGGGTGGGTCCGCGCTCTCGGTCCTGTCAGCCGCGCCCCCACCCCGCCCCGCTGACCGTTCGGCCTCCCGCTCCGGGACCCGGCGCCCTCGGTGGCGGTGCCCAGCCCGGCCCCGGCTCCGAGTGAGAGACGGCGCGGCGACTCCCGCGTGCGGGCGGCCGCGTCAGGTGTGCCGCTGCCCGTTATCCGGAGCGGGCGGGCGGCTGCCCCCACGGGCCCCTCTCGGGGGCTTTGAAACGCGCCGCGGGACCTGGCCGCGAGCGGGGCACCTGTCCCCAGGCCCCACGGGGTCGCTCTCGGCCGCTCCCCCGCGGCGTCTCGTGTCCGCGCGGTCGTCCGTGCCGGCCGGCTGCCCGAGGGGCTGCTCGCGGGGGTGTTTTCCCGAGGAAACCCGAGGGCGCCGTGCACTGGGAAGACCCTTCCGAGACGCGCCGCGCCGCGCCCCCGAGTCGCGCCGGGTGGCGGGGAAACTCCGAAGGGACGCGCGCGCCGGCGAGAGGAGGAGCGGCCGTCCTGCGTGAGGCGCTCCCGCGCGCGTGGGCCCCGCCGGCAGAGGCTGCGAGGGGCGCGGCTCTGGCCCCACCGCCGCGTGTTAAGTCATCGCCGACCCGGGCGTCTCCTTGGGATGTCCCAGTTGTCCCGAGGAGGAGGTTGAGTTGCAGTGTTGAGTAGGTGAACCTGTCGTCAGGTGGTTAGGAGTTCGGGCCCAGAGGGAGAGGCGCGCGGGGGTGGGGGGGGGGGGGTGAGGAAGAGAGGAGGGAGAGAGATTAGTTAGGCGCTCGCCTTGCCCATGGCCGACCCGGGTTCAATCCCCCTCACCCCATAGGATTCCCCTGAGCATCTCCAGCAGTGATCCCTGAGCGCAGAAACAGGAATCAGCCCTGAGCACCTCTGGGTGTGGTCCCCAAACCAACCAAACCCCCCCCCCCCAAATTAAAAGTAGAATTCACTGGCCTTTTGTTTTTGTTTGCTTCTAATGGGCTCCGAGGATCATAGGTGGTGCACGACCAAACCCTGTTTGACTGTGTACAGGGCAAGCCCCCTACCCTTTGTCCTATTGCTCTGGCCCACACTGTGCTTTTTTTACTGTAAGGCTTTTTGTTTTGTTTTAATTTTGGGCCACACCTGGAGATACTCAGGCGTTCCTCCTGGCTCGCCACTCAGGGATCACTCCTGGCTGTGCACAGGGGACCATACGGGATGCCGAGGATCAACGCAAGGTTGGGCACACAGAGCAAGTCCCCTATCCACTGTACTATCTCTCCAGCCTGAAAGTTTATATTTTCACACCACTAAGCACTTTCAGCTTTATGTGCAAATAAGATAGATCTTCGGTGGCATATAATGATCAGACAGATCTCCTCATTCTGCATATTGGAAATTTGGTGCCTGGAGTATTAAGCCAGTGTTACTTGATCAGTGATAAACTGGGGTTGTGTGGAGATGGAAAAATATTACTGCTGCTTCTAATTATAACGGCACCGTTATCATTTATTGACCATTTCTCTTGTACATCATTGTATGTGGTGTTTTGTAACTTTAATAATTATGTTCAGGGCTGGAGCGATAGTACAGGGGGTAGGGTGTTTGCCTTGCACACACCCGACCCGGGTTCAATTCCCAGGATCCCATATGGTTCCCCCGAGCACCGCCAGGAGTAATTCCTTAGTGTAAAGCCAGGAGTAATCCCCGTGCATTGCCAGGTGTGACCCCCTCCAAATAAAAAATTAGGTAATTCAGATAAAATTACAGTCAGGTGGTGACTAGAACTTGTATTCTAACCCAGGTTTTCTTCTGACTGCAAAGCTTGTACTTTAACCACTATCTTTTTATTTTGGGGGGGGGGGTTATATCTGGCGATGAGCGATAGCACAGTGGGTAAGGCATTTGCCTTGCACACAGTTGATGCAGCAACACGGCCGAACCAGATTCAATTCCTCTGCCCCTCTCAGAGAGCCCGGCAAGCTACCAAGAGTATCTCGCCCACATGGCAAAGCCTGGCAAGCTACCTGTGACGGATTCGATATTCCAAACACAATAACAAGTCTCACAATGTTACTGGGCCCACTCAAGCAAATCGATGAACAACAGGAGGACAGTGACAGTGACCCGGCGATGCTCAGGGGTTACTCCTGGCTCTGCACTCAGGAATGACTTCTGGTGGTGCTCAGGGAACCATATGGGATGCCGGGGATTGAACCCAGGTTGACTGCGTGCAAGGCAAACGCCCTCTCCACTGTGCTATCACTCCGGCCCCTTTAACCACTATCTAAACAATTTCTTTTCAAAGGGCAGGGAAACAGTAAGGTTTTGGGGGGGGACAAAGGGTTTTAGGGTCATAACCCCTGGCTCTTGGGCTATTTCTAGCTTTGTGCCCAGGAGTGACCCCTGAACTAGGGGATACGGTGCTGAGGATCCAAACTGGAGTCAGCTGAATGCAGGCATGCTCTCTCAGCCCTGAACTATCTTTCCAATTCATTAAGGCATTTAAAGGTCCCATAAAATTCATAATGCCTTGAAGGGATGTAGTCTGTTATCAGGAAAATTCTGACTTTAGGCAAACAGACTGTATGAATGGAACCCTGTATTTTGTGGTCTAAGAAATAATTGGGTGTTAAAGCTGCTTCACACTCCTTGTTTCTCTGGCCTGCACACAATTCCTTTGTTGGAGATTTTTAGTAGCTTTTGCTTGTTTCTGAAATCCCCAATCCTGCTGATCCCCCTCACTGATCACAGATGATATGAGTAAACAAAAGGCATAAACTGGCATGTTCCTCATGTAGACCTTTAGGTCTATAGGCTCAAAAACTTATCGCCAGTCACCCTTTCCTGCCTTCTTGTTAATATCAAAATAAGTGGTTCATTCTTTAGTCTTTCTTCTAGATTATTCATTCTTTCCCCTTTAACAGGTCTCTCTGATCAGTAGTCTCTTCACCTGTAAAATATAAATTTAAAAGTATTAGGGACTGAAAAGATATTACAGAGGATAGGATGTTTGCTTTGCATATGCCCATCCCAAGTTTGATCCCCAGCACCCCATATGGACTCCCAAGCCCTCCAGGACTGATCTCTGAGCCGGGAGGAAGTACTGAGCATCTCCAGGTGTGGTCCCAACTCCCCCCACCACTTGCCCAGAGAAGTACATATTAGAAAATTGATGCCTAGACTATTCGGCCATATAATTTACATTTTATTAGAAAAATTAATGTCTAGATTATCTGGATCACTTTATAGTGATAAGGAGCAATGAATATTATGTAAAGTGTTAAGCAGTTTCTGATATATAATAAAACCCATTATTTTTTGTGGGGGAGAGGTTGGGTTTTGGGATCACACCTAGCATGCTCAGGGGCTACTCTTGGTGGTGCTGCCTGTATGCAAGGCAAGTTTCTTAACCACTGTGCTATATTTCTGGTTTCCAACCCTGTATTTTTTCTGTTTAATAATTGATGGATTGGATGTCTGGGCCACACCCAGTGGTGCTCAGGTGCTACTCCTAGTTCTGTGCTTAAGTGGGTGGCTGTTTCCAGTGATTAAAGTCCTGCTTTCTGGGGCTGGAGCAATAGCACAGCAGGTAGGGCGTTTACCTTGCATGCAGCCAACCCGAGTTCGATTCCCAGCATCCCATATGGTTCTCTGAGCACCAACGGGATAATTCCTGAGTGCAGAGCCAGGAGTACCCCCTGTGCATCGCCAAGTGTGACCCAAAAAGGAAAAAAAATAAAAATAAAATAAAGTCCTGCTTTCTTTTTATTAACTGTTATCACCATTATGATGGCAGTCTGTTAAGAGCAAGCCATTGGATGATCCATAATTTCATCAAGCATACCAGGTTAAGAATTAGGGTTCTTATTTTCCCCCATATGTGTCTCTTAATTTTGCAACCAGGAATCTAGGAATCAGTCATGAGTGCTTCCTATCATGTTACTTCTTTCTCATATTTATTTATTATTTATTATGATTTTTTGTTTTGGGGCCACATCCAGGGGTACTCAGTGGTATTCAGGATTTAACTTTTGGCTCTGCATTTAGGGATCGCTCCTGGCAGGGCTTGGGGTACCATATAAAATATCAGGAAATGAACAGGGGTTGGATGTATTCTATCTCTCCAGTCTTATTTATTTGGTGGCGGGCAGTGGGGTGAGGGTGGGAGTGGGTGGAAAGGGGAGCCTCCTGGCTATTTTTGACCAAAAAGGCTAGCAGTTCAATGCAAGGCCCCAGGATTAGGTGCTTTGGGGCCCTGTGGTGCTGGGGATTACCTGGGCCACCCAATAGTGATTCTTACAAGTTTCTTATAATGACTATAAGAATCTTCATCTCATGATGTTACAGTTCATTCTTCCTACTGGACTGTGAAATCTTGGAAATCAGGATCTCTTCTATTTACAGCTGTAGTCCTATAGCATAATGTAATAAACCTTCAGATGTTTGAAGGAATGAAATCAATGTCATAATACTTTGTATAATTGATGACTGATTAGTTATCAACCTGTTTCTCTAATGGCAAGGTTTGTAGGCTTTTCCAGGCACTCCAGCTTGCATATTTATGACTGCTTTGTCTGAATATCCTGCAGCATTTGCTCAGCTTTATTTCGTGTACCTGAACATCCTACCAAAGCAGAAATTCCTTAAGAAAATAGGAATCAGGGATCAAAGAGATATTTACCAGGATTAAGGTGCTTGCTTTGTATCCTGATGACCTAGTTTGAATCCCTGGCACCATATACTGTTCCCCAAGTACTTCCAGGGGTCACTCCTGAGTGTAGAGTCAGCAGTCATTCAAGCACTGCTTGGATATAGCCAAAAGCAATAGCAAATACAACAAAGAAAATCAGTTTTCCATATATGTATGTATATTATGTTAAAAGGAGTATAGTCTTTGTTAAAGGGAGTATAGTATAGCCTAGTAAATGCCAACTTTATTCATCTAAACTTTCTTTTCCCTCTAGATATTAGTTTCTG